TAAATTTTTTTGGTTGGTTGGTTGGTTGGTTGTTTTTAAAAAAGGGTAACTCCTTAGATGACTGAATCCTTCTTACTCTCAACCTCTTTCTTTTGTTCTCAAGGTGTCAGATTGAAATGGATTCAGGTTTTGTTAAGGGGGTAAGATGCTTTTTTCAAGATGCACTCAAAAATCAGATGGTTTAGCAAATAATCTTGCTATTGTATGATTATTTCAAACCATGCATAAGTAAGTAATAAAGTTTGTTGTGCTTTTCTAGTATAAGGCTGTTTGGTTAAAGCTGGAAAAATTCCAAGGAATTGAAGTATTTTGATGAACGATTGGCTGCTTGACTTTTGTAGTCAAACATTTTTTTCCTGTGAGAAGAATATATGAATTTTTTGATACTTTTTCAAGGAAAAAGCTTGTATTCTAGTTCTTATATATACAAGTAAGATAACTAAAATAAAGTATTGGTGGAAAAAGCACATAATTAAAGCAAGACATTTCAAAAATGCTCCAATTAAATAAGCCAAAATATATGGTCTCAGATGCATATGGTGTATACATGTATATAGTGTCTGTGGTGTCTATAGTTCTTCTGGTGTCTGCATAGAGAGAAGTCCATCAGTTTATTAGTGTCAATACAAGCTGTGTCTCTATACATCACTTTAGGTACTGATGTATCACAATTTATTTCCACTGGCAAAGAAATGATCCATAGCTCAGTTATGAAGGTAATTCCCTCTTCTGTGGAAATGAATTCCATTATACCACAGCTTACATTTATGTATTTATATCAAATGTGTTAATTTCATTTTTACCTAGCAGTTTAGTTAATAATTATAATAAATATTAATGAGGGAACTGTCTGTTCTCAACCTCTGTATAGCTGCACCTGCAGTAGGTTTTGGAATCCCTTTAATGCCCTTATCTTCTGTAGGAACTGAGAGCTTCCCCATAGAACTACTTCCCATCTTTTGTCAAATACTGTGTCGCAGTGACAACAATACTCATCTTGCAGCCAATTTCCTGTGGGTTTTGATGTCCTACAAGATGTAAACTAAAAACTTTTTGGGGAACTGTGACTTTTTTTCTTCTTTGACACTGGGAAGTGAAAAACAAAAATATAGAAGCACATAATTTCTTTCATTTCCATTCTTATTAACTTCTTCTGCTGTTAGGATTGCCTTTAAAGTGGTTTTTTTTTTACCTCATACTTTGCTGTCAAGGCATTGAAGAAAGGTTGTACAGATGCCCTGCTGTTTAGACGTTACTTTATACGTGAAACACATCAAACCACGAATCTCTCTTTTATTTTTTATTTTTAATAAGAAGCAAGTGGCTGAGTAAAGATGGGCTGGAGACAGTGCTTCTTAAAGACAATCTCCACCAGGCAGTAGATCTCAATGAAAAGTTGCGGGGTTCTTTGTTTTACCATCTGCTCCTGATTTTATTCTTCTTTTCTGCGTAGTGTCTTTGCTCTTTCTGTAGGTGCTTAACCTAAGACAAAATCTCTCTGCCTTCCTTGTCCTACCCTCTGTAACAGCAAAGCTGTCACCTTCATCTGCAGGCAGACAGCACCGGTTGTCCCACTTCTCTGAGCCGAGTGTAGTGAGGTTGGCAGCATCAGAGCTTCCTATACTGTTTGATGGTGTGGAATTGTCTTTTGGCCTTAACCCTCTATCTTCATCTGTCCTACATGCCGATAACAGTTTGGCAGGGTTTTCTGAGGAGGAGATGTGCACATTGCCTGTTGCATCAACGCTCTGAGGACAAGGCTTCAGGGATTGATGAGCCCTTCAGCCACTGTAAACTTAAACGTAGGTGCTAGAAATCTTTGAGAATGGCCCAAATCTGCTATTATGTGTTAGCCCAGGATTTGGTGGGTTGCCTCCTGCTGCTGCTCACCAGCCCTGAAGGCAAACACTAGGTGACCAGCCCTTGAAATAAGATGTTAGAAGATTCTTTCACAAAGCACAGAGGGGTGTGTTCTAAGCGAAAGGACTGAGGAAGTTGGGAGTACATTGTGTTTCATTCCTTCTCTCCCTTGTGGAGTGGAAAGAGCATAAGTTGTTGTTCAAACTGTCACTTTATGAAAGTTGCAGAGTTAAATTCCACGCTGTCATTTGTGTCTCATTTCCTGCATATCTAGATTAAAGATCGATGTCACAATTTGGCTTTGCAACTTGAGCTTAGGAAGGAGAACAGCTACAGAGGAGGCAGCTCCTGGTTAACACGCAAATATGCTTGATAGTTGGTGAAAAGGGCAAAGAAAGCATGAAAGGTAAATAGATTTACATTTAAATGAGCCGCATGCTGGAGGTTTTCCCCAGTATAAAAGTTGCTCTTGAAGAAAACTTTGAATGTGACAATACGAGTATTTCATCCGAACAAAATTCATAAGATTTTAATAAGAGAAACAAAAATGTAAAAAAAACCACGCAAATTAAGGACTAATCAGTCTGCAGGAGCACCTGCATAGTATGCAGGGCCCAGGGCTATTGTACCAATGTGTGAGAATGAGCATGCAGTGGACAGAAGGAGCAAAGAATGGGTACGTTTATAAGGTGTCTTGGTCTTTCATCTCAGCCTGCAGGTGTGCAGGTCTTGCTAATGCAGGCAGAGTGACAATAACCTTGGATTTTATGTCCTAAAAAGAGAGTTTGTCTTCAATTTCACATTTAGCAAAGGAGTGGGAGGGGTAAAAGAAAAACGCCACAGTAGATAGAAAAGGGTACATTTGATTCCAGATCGTTGGTTCATGCTGTCATTTCTTCCTTCCATCTTTCCTTATTCTTATCACTTGGATCTTTGGCGTGCTTCAGACTGAGGCAGTTGTTAGCCAGTTGTTTACATGTTACCAGGGATTACTTAATTTTTTTTTCAGCTTTAGAATATAATTTTAACCCTTATGCTTTCCTTTGCTGAAGATTTGGTAGTTTAGAAACATGGTGGAAGAAACAATTGAGGTGAAAAGGAATCTGTACCATGTATAAGGGAACAAAAGTACTTAGTGAAGTCCATCTTCTTAGATGTTAAATTCTTTATAGTGGTTTCATTGCAAGCATTTGCTGGATAGACACTAATCTTGGCTACAGATTGCCAGCGTGACTGTAGTGTACATAAAATAAGAATCTTGAATTCTTTCAAGATATTTTGAAAAAGCATAAAATGGAGTAAAAGAGAGCAACTCTATTTCATTAGAGCACATATACCTCCTTTTAAAGTCTGATCTTAACAGCATTTTCAAAATAATATAATAATTGAAAGTTTTAAAACTTTATTATTTCAAACTACATTCATACAAATGTTGAAAATAAGAACTTTGCTGCATGGCTCTTCTGTTTTGAAATGACCTGAGCTCAAATACTTAATCACAATTATCTGTTGTTTCATGTGATGTGTTTGTGCTTTCCGAGCTTTAGCAACTATTCTGTGGATCAGATTATATAATTTTATGTGCTTGGAGGAAGACTTGCTACTATTCAGCGTTGTGAGAACAGCAGTGAATGTTTTGTATTTCCTAACTGAATGAAGAAGTACTGCATATGAAACTAACAGCTAATTTCATTGTTGCTTTAACAGCTGCTTTCTTCTTTTGTGATTTTCTGGCAACATTTAATCACAATTTGCAAGGTTCAATACTGTGTATGTGATATCTACTATACTGTTCTACATTTTTCTCTCTGCGAGCTACAGTAGGTGTTCTTGGGATGCTAATCATTATCTTCTTTGCACTATTGCCTGCATAAACAAGCTATAGATGTGTTTACAATGCAGATACCCACACGTTCCAGATGTGTTCCAGGGAAGAAGGTCAGAAGTCAAGTGTCCTTACCCCTAGTCTACTGGAAACACGTTCTTTTGAAGTTTGTAATTGTAATTGCGAGAGACTGCAAGCAAATTCTGAATTTCATTTAATAAGAATAGCTGCAAATTAACTCACTATATCAAAATAGATTATTTTTATCAATTAATGATCCCTCTCTTAACCTAACCATAATTTTCTTTCCTGAAGGAAAAACTAAGGTAGACTTAATGTATGTAGAATACGTGCACAGAAGCAGTGGAGAAAAAGAGAACGTGTTTACTGTCAGTTCCCAACTATCCTATTCAGGAAGAGTATCTTAAATTTACATCACCAGTTGCATTACTTGAGAAGGAAAAAAAGACAGGATCCCTGTTGGGTGTCTGTGTAGCTTATGCTGAGTAAATATTGACAAAGTAGTCTAAAGAGCAAACACTTTGACATTTGTAAGGTCCACTGGAAGGTCTTGTATATATTTATACAGCAAGAATGAGTACAGCATACCAATTTTCTTGAACTAGCTCCTGACATAGCTCCTGACATAATTCTGCATGGGCTTTCTTGTTGAGAAAGGTATGTTTAAATGTGAATGGGTCATTTGTTATACCCATAATGAATATCCTTCAACTGCTCGTAGTGAGTTGTTTCAGAAGGTTGCGTCACCTACTTTTACTCTCTCCTCCTTTAAAATATGATACTCCTAATAATGCTAACTTCTTGAAAATCTCATTTTTTGATTATTGCAACTAGGAATTCTTTTACTTTGTAGAAATTTTTGATGTTTGCTGTACTCTATGTTTATTAAGGATTGAGTCTCAAAACTGTAATGAGCAAAAAATGCTTGCTTAATTTAAATTGTGAATCTGTCTGTTAAGAAATGCATTAGGGGTAGGAGAAGCATAAGACATATTAATTGACAGACAGGAACTGCTGTCTCTGAGGTTGATACAAGTAATTTATTACTTTAGAAATGAATGCCACCTCCAGAATGTGCTTCATTAATTTCAAATTTAGTTTTAATTTCAAGCTGTTGCCCCTTGAGAAGAATAAGGTGGCAAATTATGTTTGAAGAGCAGATTTTTTTCTTGCTCGGAAGAAACGCTAAATTTTAACTGTTTAATTTTACAAATAAGTGCAGTTCTTTGGCTGAAACACTTGAGTGAAAGTATGATCAGCAGAAACTAACTTATTTTTCTTCTCTTCATAATAGCCTATGTTTCAGATGAACTAAAAGCAGCAGCACTGGTGGAAGAAGATGTGGAAGCTGATGAAAACACAGCCGATGGAGAGCCTTCTGCAAAATATGCATGTCCAGAAAAAGACTTCAGTAAGAACTGCCAAAGCTACCAAAACTCTCCAGCAGCTGAATTTTCAAGCCATGAAATGGACAGTGAATCACATATCAGTGAGACGAGTGACCGCATGGCAGACTTTGAGAGCAGTTCTATTAAAAATGAAGAAGAGAGCAAGGAGGTTTCAATACCACTTGAAGACTCTACCGTATCTGATAGTTTAGAACAAATGAAAGCTGTATATAACAACTTCCTCTCCAATTCCTACTGGTCCAATCTCAATTTGAATCTTCACCAGCCAATTTCAGAAAAAAACAATGGCAGCAGCAGCAGCAGCAGCAGTAGCAGCAGCAGTTGTGGAAGTGGCAGCTTTGACTGGCACCAGACTGCAATGGCTAAAACGCTGCAGCAAGTTTCTCAGAGCAGAATTCTTCCTGAACCAAGCCTTTTTAGCACAGTTCAATTGTACAGACAAAGCAGTAAGCTTTATGGCTCTATATTTACTGGAGCCAGTAAATTCCGCTGTAAAGACTGCAGTGCTGCCTATGATACTTTAGTAGAATTAACAGTGCACATGAATGAAACAGGACATTATCGAGATGACAACCATGAAACTGATAACAATAACCCTAAAAGATGGTCCAAACCTCGTAAACGTTCTTTGCTTGAAATGGAAGGGAAAGAAGATGCCCAGAAAGTATTAAAGTGTATGTACTGTGGTCATTCATTTGAATCTCTTCAGGATTTGAGTGTTCATATGATCAAAACAAAACACTACCAAAAAGTGCCTCTGAAGGAACCTGTTACACCTGTAGCAGCTAAAATTATCCCAGCTACTAGAAAGAAAGCATCACTAGAGCTTGAACTTCCAAGTTCTCCAGATTCCACAGGTGGGACACCAAAAGCACCCGTCTCAGACACCAACGATGCACTTCAAAAGAATTCCAATCCTTACATTACACCAAATAATCGCTATGGTCACCAGAATGGTGCCAGCTATGCCTGGCACTTTGAAGCGAGGAAATCTCAAATTCTGAAGTGCATGGAATGTGGAAGTTCTCATGACACTCTGCAGGAACTCACTGCCCACATGATGGTGACGGGACATTTTATTAAAGTCACCAACTCTGCCATGAAAAAAGGGAAGCCTATTATAGAAGCCCCAGCAACGCCTACAATAACATCCTTAGTAGATGAGAAGGTCCAGTCTGTGCCACTAGCTGCCACCACTTTTACATCTCCTTCCAATACGCCTTCTAGTGTTTCCCCTAAATTAAATGTTGAAATAAAAAAAGAAGCAGATAAAGAAAGAAGCACTGTTGATGACAAAATGAAAGATAAAGAAAAGTCAAGTGAGGATGAGGAGAAGTATGATATCTCTTCGAAATATCATTACTTGACTGAAAACGACCTAGAAGAAAGCCCTAAAGGGGGACTGGATATACTGAAGTCTTTAGAAAACACGGTTACATCAGCTATAAATAAAGCCCAGAATGGCACCCCGAGCTGGGGTGGCTACCCCAGCATTCATGCTGCTTATCAGCTGCCTAATATGATGAAGCTGTCATTGGGTTCATCTGGGAAGAGTACACCGTTAAAGCCCATGTTTGGAAACAGTGAACTAGTATCACCATCTAAAAGCCAGCCCTTGGTATCTCCACCAAGCAGCCAGACCTCACCTGTGCCAAAAACAAATTTTCACGCCATGGAAGAATTAGTAAAGAAAGTCACTGAGAAGGTGGCTAAAGTAGAGGAAAAAATGAAGGAGCCCGAAGGGAAGCTTTCTCCAATGAAGCGTGCAACACCTTCACCGTGCAGTAGTGAAGTCAGTGAACCTCTTAAAATGGAGGCCTCCAATGATGGTGGCTTTAAAAGCCAACAGAACAGCCCAGTCCCTCAAAGAGATGGTTGCAAAGACAGTCCAACTGTAGAACCTGTGGAAAACGGGAAAGAGCCTGCAAAGTCAATTGTAGGTTCTTTAAGTAGCAGCACGGCTATCATTACTGATCACCCTCCTGAACAGCCATTTGTAAACCCACTAAGTGCACTGCAGTCTGTCATGAATATTCATCTTGGGAAGGCAGCAAAGCCATCTTTGCCCGCGTTGGATCCAATGAGCATGCTTTTTAAAATGAGCAACAGTTTGGCAGAAAAGGCTGCAGTGGCCACCCCACCTCTCCAGTCCAAAAAAACAGACCACTTAGACCGTTATTTTTATCATGTCAACAATGACCAACCCATAGATTTGACGAAAGGCAAGAGTGACAAAAGCTGCTCTTTGGGTTCAGCGCTTTTGTCATCCACATCGACATCTTCTGCATCTTCTTCATCTACAGTGACAACAGCAAAGACATCTGCAGTCGTGTCATTCATGTCAAACTCGCCGCTACGCGAGAATGCCTTGTCAGATATATCTGATATGCTGAAGAACCTGACAGAAAGTCACACATCAAAATCTTCCACACCTTCCAGCATATCTGAGAAATCTGACATTGATGGTACCACAATAGAGGAACCAGAAGAGAGTACACCAGCTCAGAAAAGGAAGGGACGTCAGTCTAACTGGAACCCTCAGCACTTGCTCATCTTGCAGGCCCAGTTTGCAGCTAGTTTACGGCAGACTTCAGAGGGGAAATACATAATGTCAGACTTGAGCCCTCAAGAAAGAATGCACATTTCCAGGTTTACGGGACTTTCAATGACCACGATTAGCCATTGGCTAGCCAATGTGAAATACCAGCTCCGAAGGACGGGGGGAACTAAGTTCCTTAAAAATTTGGACACTGGGCATCCAGTGTTCTTTTGTAATGACTGCGCTTCACAGATCAGAACTCCTTCAACTTATATCAGTCATCTTGAATCGCATCTGGGTTTCCGGTTAAGGGACTTGTCCAAACTGTCCAGTGAACAGATTAACAATCAGATAGCACAAGCAAAGTCACCGTCTGAAAAGCTGGTGACATCCTCTCCAGAGGAAGATATTGGAACTTCTTACCAGTGCAAACTTTGTAACAGGACTTTTGCAAGCAAGCATGCTGTTAAACTTCATCTTAGTAAAACACATGGGAAGTCACCAGAGGATCATCTTCTGTATGTTTCAGAGTTAGAGAAGCAGTAGCATTTGCTTTTGATTAAAATAACTGTAATTTGCTTTGAGGAAAACTGTCAAAGACGCCTTAAAGCTACTGTTTAATTCTTGGCACATGTTCTTATTTTAACTCCAGAGTCGCTCTGGGCTGAACTGTTTTGTATAACTGTACAGTGTTTAGAGGTGCATAATCAGCTGTTGTTACTGGTAAAATATGAAAGTTAAAATGCAGTGGTAAGTGTTTGGAACTTTGTGTAAATTGGATTTAGTTGCTATGCATCCCTCTGATGCATCAAGCTGCATGCATTAACAGACAGTTTAATTAAGCATTTATAACTGATTCTGGTGCACTTTTTTCATGTGACCTAAGTGTGCTGGTATTTCTCACCCTGTAATCTTTAGCCCTCTGAGTACTTTGAAGCACTTTTGCATTAATTTGGTAAAAATGTATGGATATGGTTTTTTTTAAACCCTTACCAGCTTAGTTCTGATTACAAATATGAACCTCCATTTATGCAGAGGTGTCTCACACCTTGAAATTTAAAAATATGATTTTCACATTGAAACATAGATGTATATATTGTATAGATTTCAAAATCTCTTATGGAAAAATGTGATTGTGGTTAATGCCATTTTCTTTTTCTTCAGCATTTTTAGCAACAGTGTTTTTTGTACCTGATAACGCCAGGTATGAACTGCTATATATAGTGTATATTTCATTTTTTAGGCCTAACGGTTTTTCTTTTAACATCCGAACGTTGTAAATTGTATGATGAAAGATACCACAGATAGCATTTATAAAGTATTCAGAAACATTATTCTTAAAGCAAAGTATGTTTTGTTTTGTTTTGCTATACAGTACATCTATATTAATAGAGGTTCATGTTTAAATTATACATATTTATTAGTGTTGCTATCATTTATTTGTTTGTTTTTTTTTTGTTCTTTTTTTTAAACCGTCTAAAGAAACAGAAGCCACGGACTGCATTCCTGGCATGCATTATAACTGTTTTGCACAACGTGACTTTTAAAGGTATTTATTAGTAAAAAAAAGTAATAAAAGAAAATAAAAAGAGAAAATTCAAAATAAACTCAGTGCTCAAAGGGTTAAATCTATTTGAAAAACTTGTACTGTATTTCCTAAACATTGATAAAGCCTTTAAAATGTTTGTACTGTAATACTTTGCTTAAAAGTTATGAGGCATTCTGTGATATAACCTCTTTTACTTATTTATAAGCGCTCTTGGTTGTTATTTCCTATTGTAGAATGCCTTTTTATTTCAATTGGTAACTTTCTGTTTTGTTCTGCCTAATTATTCTCCCAAGATTCCATACTGCAGCTTTATCTTTAGGCATATGAAAGGTAACCCGTGGTTACCAGCACACTAAGTGATTCTGTTCGTCTCCATTTTTGGCAGTTAATTTGCAGAAGTAACTGACAGCTGACACCATATGAGAATCTATGTATAAAATATTGGCATGTAAACAGCACAGACACTGTAATGCACTCTGTGCCCTGTTTTGTTGTTGACAATGAAGCACCATTATATGACTCTTCATATAACCTTTTTTTCTACAGCAGCATTAAAATTGTCTTTTTGCTATAATTTTGTGTTGCGTTCACAATTATGTCTGAAATGTGCTACGACTAACGAGCACATTAAAATTAAATTGTATGCTATCTGTTTATGACTGAAGCTTGAGTAGGTTTCTTCATCTGCCAGGTGCTGGCAGTCAAAAGCTGCACATAAATCACTGGAGTTTTAGTGAACTTTAGCATTTAAAGAGCAGGGTAGCACTTATTCAAAGGCTGCATTAACAATTTTTTTTTCCTCCGGAACAGATAAATGAGCATTATAACTCCTTTTTAAACATCAGGTAAGGCTGGCTGCAAAGACAGGCTTTAGGAGCAATGTGCAACATAGCAAACTGGCACTTCTCTGCGCCTGCAGCCCGGCGGGGAGCCGTGCTGCTCTCCCTGCCCAGCTGGGCACACGTGTTGGAACAGCACTGCCGTGTTCCTGGGGCAGCTGGAGAGGCACCTGAGGCTGGAGAGCCCCCGGAGCCATGGGAAGGGAAGCCTCTGCTGGCCTTCAGTGCTGGGGTACAGTGGGAAAAAAGGTGGATAAATGTGTCAAATGAGTGGGCGCGTTTAGATGAGAATGACGGGCTGCTTCTGGTGTTGACAGGTCACCCCCATCCACAACTTACATCTCCAAATTACCTGTATAACAACGCACGTAAATAATGTCTTTTGCCAGAAAGGTGATGTCAGAGGCTAGGAATGGTTCAGGGAACCAAAACCACTGTTGTGGCACTTAGGAATGCTATTTTAAGTGATAGCTACCATCTGAATGTCTAATCTCCAATTTATTTTAAAAATATACCCACTGTCTTCCAGTAAGTGAATTAAAAGTGTTTTGTGCTTTCTCCTCTTCCTCTCTGACCATGAAAGCTAGTGCCACGTCTTGCCCAGTGTAACTGAGTGTTCCGTACATTCTGCATCCAGTAGTGCTAAGAAGACTCGATGAATGGGATTCACAATTAGTGCTCTGCGTTTTTGCCTCCTCTTTTGGCTCACGGTTGTATCTGATTTTAAGGTCATTTGTGTGTCAATGTTATGGCCTCCACTCAAATTCCAGCAATGAAATCGCAGCACACAGTCCTGATGTTTACCAGCCCCGTCCCAGGAGTACCCACTGTACCCAGGAGGTGCAGCCCAGCCATCCCCTGCCCTCCAGGAGGACTCCCTGGCAGCACTCTGTGCTTTTTTGCATATTGATGGTCTCAGCCTAAATGCAGGCACAGTTTTTGCGTCTACGGCAGAGAATTCCTCCTTTGAAAATTAGAACAGCTTAAATATAGTGTTTGGTTGCAAAGCAGAAACTCACACATAAGGAGACTGGCAGATTATTGCATATATTGTCAATCAATTTATTTTTAAGATGCACCGTTGACTTATAATAGTAATGGTAAAAGCTCTATATGCAATACAGTTATCTGGGGCTCGGGAAGGAGGAAAAGCAGGAGGCTGCAGTCTTTTGCAGTGTTCATTCTCTTTATTTTTTAAATACCGACAAGGGGTTGATGCTTGCAAACACCAAATGCTGCTGGTGCAGCTTCATCTAGTCTGATGAAGTCCCTCCCAGGGCCTGACCCTCTGGATCCCAATGTCCAGGGAGGAGATGGAAGCAGGGGAAATTTTTGGGAGCAGCTAGATCTCTGTGTGTGCACCAGAAATGACTTTTAAAATACAGTTTTAAAATATTCTTCAAACTTTGCAAATGAACGGCTACTCAGGATCTGCGTATCCTCAGTTTATTAAAATAAAGTTCAGCTTGCATTTCAGAACCTTCAGGACTGGCATACCAATGTGATTTCACACTATAAAGAATTTAGAGAATCAGTGAACTGGAATAATGTCCTTTCCATCAATACACTGATATGTATATTGGCACGGTAACCATTAGTGCTAACCAAATCACCAACCTGACTATATAAAGATAATTTTTGTCCTATTAGACATGAAGGTACAAATGTGGGATTTCAAAATATGTATCTGAGTTCCAACTTTTGTGTTGCGTTTGATGTTTTATTTAGAAAGATGCAGATCAGATGTGAGAGAAAACAAAATGCCTCAAGAAAGAGTTTAAAAATGAGAATGTGATGGGTAGGAAGTGCTTTAAATCACAGGTGTATAAAGGTGACCCTGGTCTAACCCCACCCAAGTAGTGGCTTGTTGCAGCATACTGTATATCTTCCAGCCATCACATTTACGCAGTATCTTAAAATAACATTTGTGATAAATGTGCAATTTAACTAATTTATGGTGCTATGATGTGCTCAGGGCTACATGCAAGATGAAAATCTTAAATGGAGCTTGAACAGCTCACTTCACAACAAGAAATCAATATGCCAGATCTTAGCTGTTCACTGAAGTCAACATTTAGCAAATAAATAAATAAATAAAAGCAACTTGAAGAACAAAAAGAACACCAGCAGTAAAGGTATATATGAATTCTAGTGAGCAAGAAATCTGTAATTAACCAAAATATGACTTTCAAACTAGTGTAAGGAACTTTATGAAACCTTAGAATCTTAATTTTATATATATATATATTTTTTTGTATTACAATTCAAAGTACATTGTTTTAGTTTTGCAGTTGTTTTTGTGGTAAACAATATATGTGATTTCTTATGTAAACCAAGGCAGATAAGTGTTATTAGCATGGGAATGATCTGTTGCACTTTGATACAGCTGTGTGTCTTGGTATATGCAGCTAGGCACAATGTGACTGCATTTTATGACAGTAAAATTTTTTGTAATACTGTGAGATTTAAGAAAATATTGGCATGCGTAGAAGAGGAGAACCTTTAATTTTGTAAGTTCTTATTTCAGCTGCAACAGAAAAAGAAGTAATCGTGGTGCAAGTGACGACAGAGACAACTGGTAATAAAGCTAACTCTAATACATTTTACATTTCACAATATGCCTCCAGAGAACCTTATGTATTTCTTAGAAAAATACCAAATGGTGGCAATCATTCTCCCATACTTTCTTAGGTTGAGAACGTGTTGGAGCTTTGCTGGGTTCTCAGTCACCCACAGTACTCAGTGGATCAGAATACAGAACTGGTCACAAAGCATGAATTGGTCATGAAAAATAAGCAAAAGAAAGAGTTCCTAAGTTGCAAAACTTTCTAAAAAGTCACTGAGTTTTCTCTAAGAAAAGAGTGAACCAATCATGTACGGTCGGACGGTTGCAGAGGGAGAACTCCTGTGTAACTCCCTTGGGTAATGCTGGTGCATACATATAATCTCCAGCTTAAAGGACCCAGCAAATTCTCTTCTCCTGGGCCTTGGCACCGAGCTGTGCCTTCCAGCCCTGGGCTGACCTGCTGCAGGGAAACGAGAGAAGAAGAAATAATTGCCGACTGCCGTATGAAAGCGGTTTTGTTGCTCAGGGTGTGGTAGCAGTGAATTTTGTTGAGCTTTCAGTAATTATGCTGTAATAATGAAAAGCTTGTATAAGTTCATGACTGTGAAACTGCTGCCTTCACTGAAGAGTATTTGCATAAGAAGTCAATTTTTTTTTTTTTTAAACCAGTATAGGAAGAAAGAATCGGGGTCATTTACAGAAAGGAGTAGAATTATGTATTAAAGCATCATTATACATGTCTGAAAGTGCTGGAGTAATCGGCGAGGTTACAATCTGTTTTCAGGCCTTGGTTTGGGGCAGTAATTTTCACTAAATGTTCAGCATGAGAAAGATGACTAAGTTTTACTAATGCTTAGCTTTATGATACTTAGCTT